TATATATACATATATTTGATATTATATTAAATAAATGTTTTCATTTTATTACATTATACATAAACCTTATCACGCTCTTATTATTAAATAATATAATTAAATATCAATATTTCACACGTTCTTATATTTCTCTATACTATTAAGTTCATAATGCCAAATTAATTTGTTTTTCATCATTCCCATGAGTTCACTACTTCTATACTCAATGTAGCCCTAATTTAATTTAAAAAATTGTAATAAATTTTACTCAAATTTACTGATTTATTATTTATTAAATGCATACGTTAAAATATGAACGCTACTTTGAAAAGTTTGAAAGCAATTTAATTTATTTCAAGGAAATGGTTTAGATTAGAAATGGATTAGATGTTATCTTTTCAATCACATGTTTTGTATTAAAATAATATATTTTACACATTTGGAAGTTAAAATATACAAAATATTATTTAATTTAAAGAATTGACGATTGAAGATTAAATTTAAAAAAAATTAATTCAAATTTTCTTTTAAAATTTTACAGCGCTTTTATTATAATTAATTCTTCTAATTCCAGTTGCGAGCGTGGACGGCCCGAGCTTCAATATCACAAAAGTGAACCGACTACATATGGGTTCCTATTTATGTATCGCATCCAATGGCGTACCCCCCTCTGTCAGCAAAAGAATAATGCTCACTGTGCATTGTACGTATATTCGTTCTTTGTGTGTCGTATTTTTTAATTCGGTCCATGTAATCAATTTTAGATTACATTGTATTACGAGACATTGTTTTTTGGACGCAAATTATTATCATAAATTATTATCACAAAATATGAATAATTAATTGTAGTGTTAAAATAACAAGTATCGATAATTTATTTAACTGCCAGAAATATGAAAAAAAGGAGGGAATATGAAATAAACATGAGAAATGACATTTCATATTCACAAAGCCATACAATAAGGAGTAGCTATTAAAAAAAAGTTATGCAATTGTAATCAAGCGTTTGTGAAAGAAGAATATTGTATTTTAAAATTTAAAAGTTGTGTACACGCCATCGTCATTGTTTCAGTTCCACCAATGATCTGGGTTCAGAATCAATTAGTCGGCGCTCAAGAAGGACAGAAGTTGACTCTGGAATGCTATTCAGAAGCATTCCCGAAGTCTATCAATTATTGGACCAGAGATCAGGATAAGATTGTGCCTCAAGGTGAGCATTTGTTTTAATCCAAACAACACAATGTTTAAAACAAAGTGTCTTTAAGATGCTTTTAAATGATTCTCATGTCTTAAAAACGTCTTTCAGATGTTTTTAAGACGTCTTATGTCTCGATTTTAGATTTTGTGTTGTCTGAGAATTTATTTGGACAAAATGTAAATTAGATACGACATGATCTGTCAGCGGTAAATCGTAACAAGAATTTACCTTGCGATATTTTACTACGCGAATTAAGCGTAATGAGAGTTTGCGGTCGTTCATAGCGAGAGAGACTCTTTCATCTCATGAAAGAATCATGACCCGGTAGAAAGTGGGATGACTTTACAATTTTGTAATATGCATCGCTCACGACACGCACCTATCGCACTTTTTGATGATTCATGTAAGTCCACAAAAAAGAAAGAAAGAGAGAGAGAGAGAGAGAGAGAGAGAGAGAGAGAGAGAGAGAGAGAGAGAGAGAGAGAGAGATAATTACACCCCCGACGCGTATTCCTCCGCCTAGTGTGCATTCGCGAGGAAGGAAAATAACTGGTTGTAACGAACCCTCTGAATAATGAAAGCTTCATACCGAACGCATAAACACGCACACCAACGAAGCGCGAGTATGAACGTTTTCGCTCCGCTTTATGCGCCGCCTGTAAAAGCCAGCTTCAATACTTCGCATCGATCCTTTTCGGATCCGTATCTCTTTCAGAAGCGTATTACGATGTATATATATACAAACTTCTATAGTTCCTGTCGAGCTCATTCAATCGCTGCAGGAAGCTGCGCACGGTTACGCTGCACTTTTATGGCAGAGAAATTATCCCTATTATAAAATATGAGCAATAGTCGCCGCGCCTTCAACAGTCAAGGGACAAAACGCATAATGAAAATTAACTATAAGTATAATTTTTATATCCTCTAGTTATAATTCTTATATCCTCTATATGCCTTTTATAATTAACTTTATTCTTCGTTATCGCATGTTTGATATACAGTTGGCAAATTTGTATAAAATTAAATATAAGATATAAATATGTATCCTAAATTTATGTGAAATTTATACATTTATATTTACATTTATATTTATTAATACATTTCACGTATCCCGAATTACGTATCTACTCAAATTTTTGTGTTGATTTAACACAAGAAAAATATAGTAGGAAGTAAATTTTATTTAAAAGTTAACGTAAAAAATATAATATTGATATAATTTATAAGCAAGGTATGAAAGCATACTTATTTTTTAAGTTAACAGACTTGTAATGTCATTCCCTTACTTCAAAAGTGATAAGTAACAAAATTAAATTTTTCAAAAACTATATTCAACTTAACCAAAAAATTATTAATTAATTAAATAATATCGGCAAAAAACATATACTTTCTGAAATATAATCAAATATCATTTTTATTGCACAATCCTTAAAAAAAATATCTTTTTTTAATTTTGATATCTTACAAAATTATTATAATTGTTATAATTATAACAAATCCAAAATAATTTATCAAAAGTCATACAAGTAATACTTGAAGTATATTATCTATAGTTTATAGATATTGATATTTATCTTGATCAACTAAAATGATACAATTCAAAATAAAATAATTTCTTCTTTAAACTTTGATCACTAAAATTTATTTTAATTTCAGATGTTGTCTGTCCTTTTTGTCTAAAAAAAAAAAAATTATGCGAAATGTATTAAAATGTATTACTTTTGTAGAAGTTTGATTATGATCTCTTAGAAAATCTTACAAAGTGCTAATTTGACGGATTGTAATCTTAATTCAGTCAGCTACACAGAAGGAAAATATTTTGTATTTTATGTCGGAAACAATCATCAACTCAAGTTAACTTTGTCAAAATTTTGTATTCAATTTTTAACATATTTGAATTTTTAACAGTATGTGATTATGTTATTTAAATATTTTGCCTAAATTGGCATTTTACTCTAATGTCAAAATAATACTTTAGGAATAATGTGAGTTTAATCGAAAGAATTTTTACACTGTTCGATAATTTTACGTTACAATTTTACTGAACAGCTGATTTAAGAGCGCATCTGACATCAAGCATGTCTCGGTATCGACTCCTCGATTTTTTCTCTCTCATCTTGATCCTTCTCTCCAGACTCTTACAAAATCATAATATTTTTTCACAAATCCTATTATTTGTCTATATTATTACTCCGTATTTGTATTTAAATAATATGATTAAGTTCAGATAACAATCGTTTAAAGAATTAACTTATGCGGATTCAAATATGAGATATTAGTAGCGGATTCAAATACGAGATATTAGTAGCAGACGCTTTATACAATTTATTTCACTTTTAAATGCCCGAACAATATCAAAAAACGAGTCAAGACATGTCAAAAGAAATTGATGAGTATAAAGATCTCTTGCTTTTGCTTCATAAACAATCTCCGTACATGCATGAAGTATGTATATGCATCCGCGAACTTGTCGTACGTTCGCGGCGTCCGTCGTGGCAATATAATCATCACAATACTATAATTTATGTGAATCAAAAATACATAAAAATAATATACTATTAAAGTAAAATAGATTGAGAAGCGTTTAAACACACAGAGAGAGAGAGAGAGAGAGAGAGAGAGAGAGAGAGAGAGAGAGAGAGAGTCATTTTCGATAAAAGCGGTTCTTAATTCTTAATATTCATGAATATAAAGACAAATAAAAAAAAGTAATTTTATCTTTTATATTTAAAGACAACATCGCATAATTCGATTTGTCGGACTTGAAAAATACAAACATAAACTGAAATAATAATCTCAATTAAATTAATAGATTTAATAACGCTATTAGCATCATAAAAACCTGTAATAACTTATTATGAAAGATATCACCTTACCCACGATTGAAAATAATATACTTTGAAATTTATATTCTAAGATGAATAATTAAAGTATGTGTTGATTCAACATATCATAAATGTTAATTTTACTGAAAAATATGCGTCCACTTTATAAATTGTTTATTTACAAATACAAATTGTTAGTAATACTTTTTGTGTCAATTTTTTACATAACATTTGTGTTACTTTTTATTTATCTTTTTATATTAAATTGACACAAAAATTTGAATGAATTATTTGGGACTCGTTGGGAAATGTATTTTTAATCCAAATTTTTTGATTATGTCTTAACTCGAATGTCACATTTTTTAAATGTGTCACTTTCAAAGGGAACCATATGCTAAATTAACACAATTCACAGTAAAATTAAAATTTATATTTAACACATTTATTTTAAAATTTATTCATTTATTTATTTATCTCAGAATGACATTTTAAAATACATTATTATTGTGTTTATTGTTCACTAAACTATAAATTGTGTTATTTTAAAGAATATAATTGAATACCAATTTAACATAAAATGCTTAAATAACACAATCACATATTTGAAATTAATCAATCGAATATGTTAAAAATTTAACAAAAATTTTAATAGGTGATGAGTTTTAATCTAAATATAAAATGTTTTTACCGTGTATGTGCGGAAAATTACGTTGTAAACTCTGCAGATAACATAATTATCCTACATTATTGTAGGTATACGAGATATGCTTATGGCTTTCCAGCTTCCATTTAAACAGTTGACAGAAATCTTCGGACGCGGGATTTATGTGTTAACACGATCGGTGGAGGGAGTAAGGGGGGGGGGGGAAGGGGTCAAAACTCACATTGTGTGCAACATTATTGCGTTCGATACAGATGCAAATGTTAACCACAGAGGTGATGTAATAACGGTCGGCGCAGAAAAGGGCAATCTCAGCCATGTTTGGCGTTTATACACACTCGTCGCGTCCTTAGCCTTCCTCATAAATACCAGATAAAATCATGTTATACCTTTAACGTGCTACCGGGATTCGCATGCATTATTCAAAGGCTAATTCCGGTCGAATAAACGACCCGAAAGAAGGAGCCGCGCGAGATGTTCGCGCGCCCGCGGCTGATACTGCTTAAATAAATAAATCTAACGGTATTAAAAACTAGATTGCCTCTTGTAATCGCCATATTCCTCTCCCCTCCCTTTCTCCCTGTATCTATTTCGAAGATATACAAGGCCGAACCGCCGTGTAAATTAAAAGCAGCGCCGTGTTTCTCCGGTAGAAACTCATTTAAGGAATTAACTTCTAGATTAGATTCATGGATAAAATGGCATTAAAGGATTTCATTCATAGGAGAATTTAAAGATATCGTTCTTTATGCATTGCTGAGCATGCGCTGATCAATAGTAATGGGATTAATAGCAGTAAAGCGAAACGAGGGGGATAAAAGTTAAATTTTGATCGCGTAAACACCGTCGCGTATAAAATTCATTTCCCGCCCGATAAATTATGCGATACGAAAAGTGGAAGATTTTTTTTCGTATTAAATAATATGAAACATTAAAGACAAAATAAAAGGCAAATAAGAATGTAATCACGCGGTAATCAGTGCGCAAAGATTTTCACTGAACAATACAGGATAAAGAAGTGATTTGGATAGATTAACAGAAATTTTCAAATTGTACGAAAGATTGAGGTTGTACATAGTGTATTCCATTAAACATACAACTATTTTGATTCAATATTGTATGTTTTGTATGTTTAATTGAATACATATATTATGCACGACTTCAATCTTTTATCTATTAACTTCTCCAAATTACTTCGCTTTATTCTATTTACTTCATGATTACATCGGAAAATCGAATATTTCGATTTCATTTCAGCCATCTTTAATGATATTTACAGAATTTATGTGTTTTCGATATCAAATAAAGTATCTTCAAAAATTTCCAATAATATAGAAATGCCTCATCCACTACCTAATAAGCACCAACATAACATCGATATTTTATATTTAACAATATAAAGATATTGTACTATACACATGTTGTACATAATAATTATATTGTTGAGTAAAAAATTATAACGTTGATGTTATGTTACTTTTAATTGGTGTTTACTAGGTATTTGTTAAGCTGAGTGAAAACCAATG